TTCCATTCAAATGATCTCACTAACCTCTCGTAATCTGTTTATCCGGTTACCAAACCTACGTTACTCACTCATTGGAGTAGAAAAACACTCTGAAAACTTTTTTCTTTTACATGTGAGTAAGGTTAACTCCAGTATAGCAACTACAATAACAGTTCCAGGAAATCACCCTAATTTCCTTGAACTAAGTCATTTTCTTGCTTTTGACACAAATGCAGAATTTTTTCTAAATCCACCTATTTTCTCTAATTAAAAAAAATTATGTTTAATATCAACGACCAACCAGTTTCAGTTATTCATATAAAGAAAACATTTGAATTACAACCACATTTACAAGTTTACATGATAGCTAATGTTCGATACATCGAAACAGGTACTTTTGAGGAACTTAGTATTTACCCCGCTTCCCGATATGGGCCATTCTTTCTTTTTGTATCTGATCACCCAGAGTCTTGTCCGACCAATATTGAATGTGAACATTGTACCTAGAATGATAATTTTTTACGAAGGAACCTTTGTCCAAATTAAAGTTCCAACGCTCCTTCATTCTAGCAGAAAATTTCAAAATAATCCCCATTTTTATAATTCATTTCGAAACGCTTCATAATGGCGAACTACACAGCACCATTATTAAACCAAGCAATAAATACTGGCATTTAATACTATGTCTTGCAAATAGCCTAACATTTCCCATTCCCTGCGATCTAGACCAGATTGAATGAGCAGTGAGAATGACAACTGAATGTCCTATATGTTTGGAAATTTGCGATCAAATGAAAAAATTACACGGAAATTTATCTCCACAACCACCACATTTAGTTTGCGTTAATTGTTATAATAAACTCAAGCTAAGAGCTAGTACACCATTCGCAAAATTTCCTTGCCCCATTTGCAGGCAGATTATTCATGTAATTAATATGACAGAATACGATGTCTGTAATATCTGCAACCAATTAGTGTTATCCAGAAACAAACGAAAGGGTGAACATATGATAGTTAAGCACCCTTATATTACTGTATGCAATAACTGCATTGAGAAATGCAAAAACATCTGCCCTATCTGTTTTTCCAAAATTGCCTTTGATGAGTTTTGGGCATAACTTCTTTTTATACAATGGCAAACGAATGCCCCGTTTGTCTAGAATTGAAAACAACCCTTCAATTAAGAAAACTTCACAAAAGAAAGTATCCACAACCCTTTCATTTTATTTGTAATGAATGCTACATGACTCTCAAAACCAAAACTAACTTAATTTTTGACAAATTCTTATGCCCAATATGCCGCCAGGATGTTCACGTACTAAATTTTGAACAAATTAACAAATGTCTGACTTGTAAAGGCAATAAAAAAATGAATAAACAATTATGCTGTTTGTTTAGGAAGTCGCAAAATGTTCTGCTTGGTAATGGACATTGATTTTGTCCTTGGTTATAATCTCCTCGTCCAAGTTGACGGTTACCAAGCGCGCACAAACCGTATTTATATTCATCCCGATCAACAGCAGTTGGATATTTTTTGCACACGTTATAGTCCTGGCTTCCACGATGAAGAAAAATTTACTGTCAAAAGCAGCAGTAGATTTTTTAATATTATCTTAAATGCATTCAACAATGACGAAGATGTTATCGACATAAATTTCCAAACCTCCAATCGACTTATTTTTTAAATCTTTCCTTCTTTAAAAAAATGATTCAGATAACTTTACCAGCTTTTATATGTAAAATTTTTCAAGCTTGTTATTTTTATTTCCAAAGTTTTCTTTATGTTTCTCAACCCATACTACAGTACTTCCGAAAAACCATTGAACAACCCACTCTTGAAAGCCCAATTTGCTACTTACCAAAATCCAAATTCAAGAAACAACATCATAACGAGCCACATCATACACCACACTTTATCTGTATAGACTGTCATGACCAAATTGTAGCCCATTTTTCTAAATATGGACAGATTTTATGCCCCATTTGCCCAGTCCCAAATTATACCCAATCACTTTCATATTACTCCCCTTGTTGTTCATGCGATAGTATGGTTAAAAGCGCAAATTGGCGAAGTACCCAGACCCAAATTATGGCAAGCTATCAACATCTTACTATTTGCCATCAAGGTATCACTATTTGTACAAGATGCCTCCCTAATACTGCAAAATTTTGTCCCTTATGCCACATCCCTTGTGATTTTTCCGACCCCTGGAATTAATTCTCCACACTATCTGATGTCATTATACAATTCCTCTACACTTCTACATTTGGTAAGGCCTCAACCCTTCAGTAATTCGCTCACAATTTATATATCTTTATAAACAACAACAAACACAAAATACCCTTTAACCATGCTATATTATATACTATTTACCCCCCCCCCCCCCCCGGTTTTTTCTAGTCCCTTCTACCTATAAAAGGGGACCCCATGGTAAGCCTGTGGATGACCCCAGGTGGACATACATTTAAGATTAGGGGTTAATTAATGCCCAAATTTCCATTTTTTGCCTTAACTACATTTGCATTTTTGCTTTAAGTTTCATATCTGAGCTTAACTCAGTGTTGTAAAGTGCTTTATTCCTGTGGTTAATAAACACCATGATCGTTTTTCTTCATTTGTTTTCCGTGGTGGGTTTGTGTGAAACCACAAGATTATATGTTCCACCTTTTATATATATACAATTTTACACTTTGTCCTTCATTGTTCAAAACAGTTGATAATTAGCCTGAATATCCGAATGTAATTCGGGATTTTGAATATTTGGTCATTTTATATTGATGTTTAGCAAAATGGAATATGACCCAATTTTAAACTGGAACTGCAGAAATGCAGACCCAGCACCAGAGGAGTTCAAAAGAAAGCTGCCTCTCAGGAAGAAACAACGGAAACCTGTAGCAGTTCAATCTTTGTCAATGGACGACGGGTTAAATAAGAACCCTCGCAATTTTCCCAGTTTAACCCAAAGATTGGAGCTGCAGAAGTGCAGAGAAACCAAATTGGATACGGAAAATCCAAAATATAGAACGAGTTTAAAGTACTCAATAAAGAAAAATTATAACAGATGGAAACTACCATCGTTCATTGAAGTCGTCAACTCAACGACAATGGAAAAGGCGATGATGCCTATCGATTTCATAACCCAGCCAGAAGTGGTTATAAAGAACGAAAACAACTTCTGGAAATTAAAGAAGAGGGAGGAACACGGCTACATCCTCAAGGCAGGAGGCACGCAAGTCACCATCCCGTTTGAGGGAATAACTGCTTTTCTGAACCATAAAAAAAACAGACAGGAAGAACAGGACGACATTCAAGAACTTACGGACGGAATGAGCAGACTACGAATCAAGAACAAAATCAAAAAGAAGAAAATCGTGAAGTTGCAACAAAAACTCGAGGCTTCACAGAGGAAGATAGCGATCCTCAGATCATACAACGTGGAGCTAGAAGCCGGAAGGAAGCTCTAGATAAAACCTAACTTATCTTTATAACTTTTTCATTTGATGTTCTCTTTAAATTTTATAACTATAGTATTTAACCATTAAAGTGTTTAAATTTTCACCATGGTAACTGTAAGAATCGAACAGCTTAATTTTCTAAAAAAAGGGGTGAGTTGTAGTATTGAGAAATACTACACAGACAAAAGACCATTGTCTTAATTGTTTATTCTAAATTGGAACGTGCCATTTAAATTAAAGCCTCTTTTCACTAAATCAGATATTGACTGATTTACTCTTATTAGGACTATAAAATCTTGTTTTGAAAAATCCACTCCTTTTTAAATACTTGTCCAATTTTTCTCATTTTTTCATGCTCAATATTTTAAAAGGGCGGCGATTTTTAATACGTCCCTTTTAACTTAACTTGAAACAAACTGGATAAATATTCAGCAGTCTTGCCGGCTGCACTGATATTCTCCTTGCTTTGATTAAGCAGAGGTGCACCTGCAATATGATGCATCAGAGAGAGTAATATGAATTTTTAATAAGACAAACTGAAGGCTGCGGTTTTTATCAAAGGGGACTAATAAGTTAAAGATATTTGATTTGAAAAAATCAAATAAAAACTAGTTGAAAATTCCCTTATTAGAAAGGGAGAACAAAGGAGCAGGTGAAACCTGAATAATTAAAGATTGAATCAGCCGCCGGTTTATGCTTACGAGCAAAAGGACTGGCCTGAAATCTTCAGTGTTTCATTTTGCTCAGTCAGCAGCAAGTTAGATATCTTCAGTTAGACATTTTCAAAAAATAAATAATTTTTCTTTTCTGCATTTACAGTAAAATTAAACTAGTCTTTTTTCACAAATAAAACAGAGAATAAATTCTCATTTCAAGTTCGATAAAATTATAAAACGAGATACTCGAGATAACCCCATCTGAGGAAGTCTGGACTACAAGTACCCAAAGGACTACGGCAAGACGAAACTGACAACCAAACCAGAAGTGCCAAGTGGACAACATCAAGGCAACCCAAGAAATACTACTCAGTCATCGACCTTAGTAAGAAGATAAAATATTGATGAACAAAATAAGATTAACTCAACCTCCCCTCATAGGTATATTTCTTTAAGCTGTTCGATTCGCTTATATAATCTAATTACCCAGTGCTCTGTATTTAACTAACTAATTAATTCATACCTTTTCTAACTATTGTTTCTACTCTACTTTTTGTCAAGACAATTTGACGATTTAAGGTGAGACTTATAACTTAGGATAAAATTACTAAGCATTCAACCAGCAATGAGCGGTTAGTAAAATTATGAAAAATTATTTAAAGATTTTGAAAAATACACTATCTCCTGCGTTTAAATAAGAGATTGCAATCAAACAGAACCAAATCACCAAGTAAACAGCTTTTTTGTATAAAAATCTTTGAAGTATAACTATATCTCGCCTGAAATCGAAAACATTCTATCGCACACTAGTCTCGATTCACAAACCTCTTGATTGAACTTTGTAGACATTAGATCACACTCACTTATTAGCTCATTTCGAAAAACAATTACAAGGACTGAAAAACTCACAGGCGCATGTTTCAATCCTCTCCTTCTACTTCTGTCTCCAGTTCTGCTGACGGTGAACAAAGACTTGTGTGCTTGTTTGTGATGATGCGTGAGGTTAGTGTGACTGGAGAATGTCTTCAGACACACCACACACTCTGCCCTCTCTTTCCTCCTGCTTCCCAAAAGTGAGCAGTGCCTCGCGTGCATCACCGCCTGCCACTTGATGTCAAATAGCTGCCCACAATCATCACTCACACAAGCGTACTGTAAATTATAACTTTACTTCACAAGTAAAAACAGAATTATCGCATTGTAAAAAAAACTACGCAAATTGATATCAATGAAAATCATTATCTGACGGGGGAGGAAGGTATCGGCGGAATATTGCAGGGGCGAAGCGGAGCTTCAAACCACCTGCGATGCAAAACATTGAGTTTTCAGGCATAGAGAGACGCCATATTTCAACTTTTTGCGTTTTGCAAGACTTAATACGGTTCTGTCTGAGACGCAGTTCCAACCAAAAAAAAAATCATTTGAAAAATAAATTCGAGTGAGATAAAAAGATCATTAGGGTAAAAAGTAAAAAGCACTCTTTTGCTAAAGTATGTTAACGAACTAAATCACTATTTCGGATCATTCAAGACTTTGGGATCAATTCATAGCTTTCTTACAACTATAACCAAATTGAGAAGACAAAATGAAAACAAAATGCTAATTTTAGAAAGAACGTTTTACAAATTTTTGATAAAACCGAAACAGCTAGCGCTTTTTGTTTTATTGAGAAAACGAGTTTGAAACAATGTCGGAGGGTGGGAGGTTAGGTTAATTTTCGAAGCATGCGTGAGATTCCTCAAGTGTGCTAGAAACGTTTTGCTGAGTGCTTGTATTTCCTTTGTGTTTCCTTCGGTGGCAATAAAGAGCAAATCGCAAACAAGGCAAGCTCGCTCGAATAAATTCTCAGATGACAATAAGCCTCGTGATTTCGTTATTAGATGATCTTGAGAAATTATAGGAAGCGGCTCAGATAAATTACAGGCAAGATGATCATTAAGCATACTGTACATTTTTTGTCGATCTGATCCTTCTGCCGAAGATTTCCGATATCGAGAGGAGGACACAACTTCATCCATTAATTGTTTAGAAACACGTTCAACAAGTGTTATATCGGACACAAATGAAGTATTTTCAATAGCTTCGCTTTCTCTAACGATTTCCGTTGTTTACTTCTATTCAAGGTTTGAGCCCTCTTCACTGGATCACTAAGTCGACTTTTTGCTGTAAAGGTCGACTTAGTGATCCAGTGAAGCTGTACATTTTTTGTCGATCTGATCCTTCTGCCGAAGATTTCCGATATCGAGAGGAGGACACAACTTCATCCGTTAATTGTTTAGAAACACGTTCAACAAGTGTTATATCGGACACAAATGAAGTATTTTCAATAGCTTCGCTTTCTCTAACGATTTCCGTTGTTTACTTCTATTCAAGGTTTGAGCCCTCTTCACTGGATCACTAAGTCGACTTTTTGCTGTAACCAAATTCGTAAGTCGTTTTGCCGGATTGGATAGACGATTCTTCGCTCTTTTTAAGCTTTGCAATCGCAAAGTTGGAATACTGTAACGTCATCTGGCTGTCTGTAAGTTCCTTAATTTCTTTGCTGGATCTTGAAGACGTTGCTTTGCTCGGCTAAGATTATTCAATCTGTGCGCTGGATCCAAGACTCGCTGTTTTGCTCGCTGTAAATTTGCAGATCGTGCAGCTGGTTCCAAGACTCGCTGCAAATTTGCAGATCGTGCAGCTGGCTCCAAGACTCGCTGTTTTACTCGGTGCAAATTCAAAGCTCTTTTTACTGGATTCAAAAGTCGTTGTTTACATCTATCCATACTTATTGATCGGTTTTCTGGATCCAAGAGTCGCTGTCTTGCTCGATGCAAATTCGCTAATCGGTTCGATGGGTCTGAAACACGATTTTTAGATCTCAATAGATTGTTCCTTCGAATAATAGGATCTTGCAATCGTGTAATGACATTACGAAGATTTCGCAATCTGGTTGCATTTCATGAAACACAGTTTCCACTTTCGAAGCTCGAAAAATGGTAGATGCGAGATCGAACTCAATAACACGTTTGCAACATTTTTACCTATTTGATGTTGAAGGATTGCAATTCGTTGCTTTTTGTTTTAGGTTCTATAAATGCTAACAGAGGTGAGGTCATCATCTTCACTAGCCAGGGTGTCAACTTCTTCCTCCGGAAATTTCCGTAACTTGGCAAGAGGTAAATCATCGTCAGAATCACAAACTGCGCCTAGTGTAACAAATGAAGGTCCAGAAGGATTACTGTCATTTTTGACTGTGATGATCGGCTCGTAAGGATCATGTTTGTGAATGATGTAGATGTTGGCCACTCCAGTTTGACCAAGAGGAGGTGAAAACAGCAACCAAGAAGACGTGGCATATGAATACACATTAACAGTAACAGCCGTGTTAAAACTAAAAACCATTATTTCCAAACATGTGCCGAACACTCCCAATTGTATCATTTTAGTGAACTGCAAATACTCTTGCACAGAATTGAAGATTCGCCCCGAAGGTAAAATCATGTGATCTTCAATTCCAGGAACAGACGGCATAATGTCACATAAAAACGATCTCAATTGAGGATCACTACTACAACTTCCAGAAACAGCCGCACACAAAGATGAAAATAAACAATTTCCAACAGGTGGCACACGAAACAGTTTAAAAGGTAAACTTAAAGGTACGTTAATTGGAGACTGCTCGTAAAGGTAATTGAGCTAAAATACTTCTTTGCAAAGACACGCAGTTAACGGATGGAATAACGTCGTTGTAGGGGGAATTGAATACAAAGACGGCGGAGCGTCAGGTGCGGTAGATAGGGCAGTGCAGCTCACTAAGTGATCTAAGTGATTCTTACAAAATCGTGAATCGTTTGTAACAAACAGGTTGCAACCTCTTTTTACGCACTTTTTTTAATTCTTCCTTTTTGGCATTTAATATATCTGAAACCTCAAACAACATCAACGGTGAAAAACTTGCACGGCTACACAAACACTTTATTACACACATATATACAAAACAAAAAAAAATACTTGGAATAAAAAAGTTTTATTTCAGAAGACTACGAATCTTCGCTTTCCCCATGATCTTTAAAAATATCGCCGACATCTTCTTGCAACGTCTCAGCTTCGCAGCTTTCTGAGGAAATCGAAAAATTCCGAAAAACGGCCAAAAAACCGAAAAAATGACTTTTCCCAATTCAATAGCTCTTTCTGTAGGAAAATTAGGGACCAGCCGCTTGTGAATGGGAGTTGCCTACAACCTAAGCAATCAATTGAACCCTTAATCCCAAATCTGGACGGGTAGTTTTTGAGGAAATCGAAAAAGTCCGAAAAATGGACAAAAAAGTCAAAAACGAGACTTTTTCTTAGTCTATAGCTTCTCCCCTAGGCAAATTAGAGACCAACCGCTTGTGCAGGGGAGTTTTTTTACAACCTGGTCCATCTTTTGAACCCTTAATCTCAAATCTGGACGGGTAGTTTTTGTGTAAATCGAAAAAGTCCGAAAAAATGGACCGAAAAGTCAAAAAAGTGACGTTTATTAAGACTATAGCCTTTCCCCTAGGCAAATTAGGGACCAACCGCTTGTGCAGGGGAGTTTCTTACAAACTGGTTTATCGTTTGAACCCTTAATCTTAAATCTGGACGGGTAGTTTTTGTGGAAATCGAAAAAGTCCGAAAAAATGGACCAAAAAGTCAAAAAAGTGACTTTTATTAGGTCTATAGCCCTTCCCCCAGGCAAATTAGGGACCAACCGCTTGTGCGGGGGGATTTCTCACAACCTGGTCTGTCGAATAAACCCTTAATCTGAAATCTGGACGGGTAGTGTTTGAGGAAATCGAAAAAGTCCGAAAAAAAACATGCAAAAAGTGAAAAAAGTGCCGAGTTGTGGGGCTTTTCTAACACCAAAGGGAGCGGGATAAGCCGACAGGGATAACAGACAACAAATTCAAGTAGTTCTTGACCACTGAAAAAGACCTAAGTTAAGACATTTGATCCGATACTGGTTCAAACATAGCCAGGAGACAGTAAAAAATGTCAATGAACGCAAGTAAACAGACAACTGACTTTTTCAAAGAAAAAACTGCAAAAACTATTCAAGAACAAATTTTCAAAATTGAAAGTCAATCACGCTTTTGTGACCTTTACACTTTCGCTGTTCGATAGCAGAATTTGCCTACCTTTTAACAAAAAAAATGAATTGAACTGAAGAATTTTCCTGAAGAAAAAAGAAAGCACTAAGACCTATAAAAGAGTCTGAACTAAGTTCATCGACTCTTAGCAATCAGACGTTTAAAAGAGAAGGGCGGTTTTGTTTACCTTTTATTTTATTAGACCAAATTGATTTTCGGAGTAATTCCAGCACACGATAAAGACCCATTTTAACAAAACTTTCGGTGGCGCGGGCAAATTTTGAGAAAAATAGGTCAAAAATTCCGTTTTTGGACGCTTTTTCAAAAAATCGGACCAAAAAATTGCGTTTTTTTGGCGTGGCTTTGTTTTGAAATTCGTATATATCGGCTCCAAAGGCGACTTCAGAAAAACTAAGTTCGTCGGTCGAAAAACGAAGTTCGTCGGAATGATAAAGGGGACCCTTTGATTGGTGAGGAGGTGTGAATCCCTAAGGGAAAGGAGTGGACGCCGTCGACCCCCTAAGTCCGTCCTGCAAAAAAAGAGGAGCCAGCGAGATATGGTGGTTTGACTGGTGATCTCTTGCTTGTCTGGATTTTTGGAGGCAGCTCATTACTTTATGATCTAGGGAAGAAGACCACTTATTCAAAGAACTAGTATTGTAAAAAAGGAGTGAATTTGCGTCCACGCTCAAAAGATACGACCAAGGTGCGGGAAATTATAAAAGGTATAGATCGTGGTAAATCAGTAATAATCTGACACGACGCAGTTTACAATTCAATCTCTGATCATCCCCGAGACCCGCGTGAACCACTAACCGGAGAAGAACTCGAGTCCTCCGAGATTAAAGCTTGACACCAGATATCTGGCATATTTTATTGTGAAAGAGAGAAGACCCTTGAGATTAGTTAAAGACCCTTGAGATTCCCGTGGTGCATATACATTGAAGTTATAACAAACAGAATTCAGAACTTATTGCGAAATACAGAGCTTTTCATCATGAATCCTACCTAGAAGTTAAAACACTGGACATTATGAGAAATTAACAAGTGAACTGGAGAGCAATTAATTTCAAATAGAAAAAAACAGAAAACTTCACAAAAGCAGCGAAATAGATTATAAAAATGGAAAATCATGGTACAGCTACTACTGCACGACAAACTAAATTGCCTACATTGCTTTTTCGCAGAGTAACCCGTCATAACCTGTCAATGAGAACTAAAGTACAAAAAACTAGGTATGAAATTGTAAATGAAGTAAAAGCGAATATATACTGTTGAAACTAAAGCTTCAACATTGAAGTTATAACAAACAGAATTCAGAACTTATTGCGAAATACAGAGCTTTTCATCACGAATCCTACCTGGAAGTTAAAACACTGGACATTATCAGAAAATAACAAGTGATCTGGAGCACTTAATTTGAAGAAGGAAAAAACAGAAAACTTCACAAAAGCAGCGAAAAGCAGCTCAGAAGCGAAAACTCGAGGAATCTTCGAATTAATTAGTTTCCTTCTGTTTCTTCTTCCCTGAAGATAAAAACAGTTTGTGTGACAGAATTGGGCTGAATTGCCCAGGTCACTGGACTAAATTGCCCAGGTGTAGAGCATGAAAAGAATGCCTTCATTTTCTCATTTATTTTTCTTCTCCCTTATTTATTTGTATCATTCTGGAGATAAAATTTAACAAATAGATTATAAAATTGGAAAATCATGGTACAGCTAGTACTGCACGACAAAATGAATTGCCTACATTGCTTTTTCGCAAGAAACCCGTCAACTCCTGTCAATGAGAACTCAAGTACAAAAAACTAGGTATGAAATTGTGAATGAAGTAAAAGCGAATATAGACTGTTGAAACTAAAGCTTGCCTGAAGTTGGCGGAAGCTGCGTAACTGCAATGCTAGAATAGAAAGATGAAAATCAGATCAATTGGTATGCAAGAAGACCCAAGCGAGGGCTTTAATAAAACGATGTAAAATAAGTTGAAAATAGCAAACGCAATAAGCGCAGAAGTTTCCCAGACAGATTTGTCAATAGCTCACCGGTTTCCATCTAAGGGAAACGGACCCAAGCCTATAATTGCTCGATTCTCCAGAGTGGCCGAAAAAAATCAAGAAAATAAAATCTATAGCTCAACATGAAAGTCTAAAGAACGTGCGAAAATTCGAAGACTTGTCAATTCCGAGGGTGAGCTTCTTCCACATGATGAAAAAATATGATCGAATTGGAGAAGTTTGGACTTGAGATGGTGTTATTAATTACATTATTAGTAGACAAAAAACACATTTTGTGTGACGGAGGAGGTTTTCTCAAATACAACATCATTCTTGATGTGATGAGTTGTTTTGGTTAAAAAATTTTTTTTCAGGAGCCAGTCAACCTGATCACATATGAATCTTCTGTGTCAAAACCATGTCATAAAGATCCAGTTTCAACAAGAGAACACAGAAAACTTAAGTATAGAATCATGCTGCCAAATGATCGCTCTGCAAAAAACCTTGAAGATTTGGAAGTACTTCTAAGTAGCCTCGAAGTTCCAATGAACATACTTTGCTTAACAGAAATATGGTTGAAGGAAAATGATAATAATGAAATCTATAAAATAAGCGAATTTCACTCCACTCTCGCAAACAACAGATTGACAAGAGGAGGCGGTACAATCATGAACTTCAATATGTTAATACCATAGAAGCAAAAAATTTCAAATTTTGGATAGCACCGCTACTCATGTTTGAAAATTTTGATTTAAATAACAACAAATATAGAGACATGTCATTTCTGACAAATGAAAGGAAATTTTACACTTTTTTGTCCATTTTAAAAGGAAAGCTACAAAAAATCAAATTTAGTAAACGATAATGATGCGAACTTGGCCTATAAATTGGCTGTTTCCTAATGAATAGAATTAAATTATTTGCCCCAATTAGAAAACCAATATTAAAAGCGAAAGTGCCATGGTTTCAAAAAACACCTACAATGCTATATCAAAAAGAAACATTTGGTATAAATACTGGAAACGTGATAAGGGAAAACGAAACTTAACTTCATTTTGCAACTTAAGAAAGGCGGATATCCTCATTAAGAGTAAAAAATACTATTTTATCATAAATTTAACAAATGTAAAGGAGACTTGAGGCAAGTTTTCAAATTATTAAATGATTTAAATCAATATTGCAGCACTAAGTATTTGCCGGGAAACAGTATCGGAGCCAACTCTAATGTCCGCTGCTCTTAATGATTAGTTTGCAACAATAGGTTCGAATCTTGCCGAAAGTATCACGAATACTTATTATCAATACAATAAAACCGAACATAGCAGCCACTCAATGTATTTGTGCAGCTGCTCCTTTCAAGAAATAATAAATGTGATAATAAGCTTGAAACCAAAACATACCGCCGGTATTGATGAAATAAGTAATATGCTCACGATAGAACGCTGTTATATAATTGCTCCTTGCCTAACGTATCTTACAAATCTTTCATTTATCAGTGGTGTTTTCCCCCGATTCTCTGAAAAATGCTAAAATTTTTGCTTTACAAAAAAATAATAGTAAACTGGATCTGAATAACTCTCACCCCAGTTCACTTCTATGTAGTTCTAGCAAATTTATTTAAAAGGTAACGCACTCAAGATTGTTTAATTACCTAGCAAAGTTAAGAGTACTCTATGAACGACAATTCGGTTACGGGAAAAAATTTGCTACAATTGATGCTCTAGCTGAAATAACAGAAAAAATCAGATTAGGAGTAGATAAAATATTAAATGCAGATTTTTCATAGATCTGAAAAAAACTTTGGTAACACTCAACCACAAATTTCTGCTAAAAATTAGATAGTATTAGGATAAGAGGTATATGCAACAATTGTTTAGAAAATTGTCTATCAGAAAGATATCAGTGTTTTTTGGTAAATAGTTGTCAATCTGATTGGTTGCCTGTTAAAGCGGGATAAAACAACTCTAATAAGTTTTGAAAGAAATCGAACTGCTTCCAATCTCCTTGTTGAGCTTCAAAATGATACATTTCATCCTAAATTTTTGTGCAAAAAATGTCGGTCTTATTGTAAACCAGAAACTTACCTTAATCGGTCATATAAAAAAAATCAAATCGGAACTAGGTCATTATTGCAATATTATACCGAAAATGGGACACTACGCATCGAAAACTGTTTTTATTGAAACATTATGTTTAAAGATGATAAAACCAATCCTTCAATAGGGCTTACTTGTGTGTGGAGGAACAAAGTATGCAACACTTAAAGTGCCAACGTAAAGTTAAAAGAATGATTTATTTCAAAAAAAAATGAAACCATTACCAAATCTTAGGACAACAAAATTTTAACAGTTCAAAAAATGTTTGTAAATGATCTGATTCAGCTTTGCATTCGATCTTTAAACTTCCAACATCCTATTGTTTTGATTAATTGTTTATTTTCAAAGAAATCTTATTCATATTACACACGGAAGTCAAGAAGGCCACTTATATGCATCCTTTTTGCAAGAATAAAAGAAGATCATACTCATTAACAAATAGAGGTGCCAGGCTGTTGAACATTTTGAGTGATTATAGTCTATAACCAGAAAACCTCGAAAACATGTCGGAAAAAGATCACTGCAAACTTGCCATTAATTTCAGAGACAATTGCATTCTTGGAAACATTGAAATGATTAAAAAATAATTTCAATAAACTTTCGTCATATTATTTCAATAATCATAAAAAAGGACTACGCAATGCTTTTTGCTTCACGAGATAAGGCGTTTTTTTCCATCTCATTTTTCAAATAAAATAATTATCAATAACACTAATATTATTATGAATTAAACTTGTTTTCTTAATCGTAAACAGGGTAGAAAATTAGTGGGCGTTGAATTTGCCCTTGATCTATCCTCTCCAATCGTTGTCTTGAAATGATAAAGTTGATATTGTTAAATTGTTGCAAAATGAATTTTGTTTTTTACTTAATTCAAGATTGATTAAAACTGTATTGATGAGTGATTTGGAGAAATTAACTCTTTCAAAAAACAAGTCGAAACGTCCGTTTTTAGGCACTTTTTGGTAAACATTGACGAACAAATCCCAATTTTTTCGGAGCGCGCTCCCCCTCAAAATTAATATATGTTGGCGCTGCGCCGAAGGCGCCTTAAGAAAATTTTTAGGGTCCTTCAACCAAACAAGGATATCTGAAAGTGAATGCAAGTGGCAATAATTTCAGTCAGTGAAAATAGGTCAAGCTATTTAAAATACCCATCATGTTCAAAAAATTTTTGAGAGTATAAGTTGAAGGCAGAAATTTAAAATGAGGCGAAGCTGCACTTCGCAAAGAGGGCACAAAAAAAGGGCAAGATAGTACCCAAAATAATTCTATATAAATAGAATTATCAATTTAGCAAACAATTAACCTTAGAGGCTACGGGATTCAAACCCTGGTCGATCACCCTAGAGTCACTTGGCTTCTCAACCAATTAAGCATGAGTTCCTATTTGCTACAATGTACAGTTTATATTTGTGAAACAATCAAGCAGCAAACCACGAAAGACTCAGTTAAAACAGAGGCGCCTCAGAACTCACCTTTAAAACATTCGGTTCCACTTCGACCACTTTAATGGATGAACTATATGCATCCTGTGGCAGACTTGACTCGGACCCAGTCTTCCTTTCATCTGCGTTGGACTCTTTCAAAACATCTGAAACTTCGGTTTGCTCTTTGGGTTTCTTTGACTCCATTAGGTTTAAAATTTCAGAAGTTTTGAACCATTCAGCTTCATGTTTCAATTTCACTTTTTCTTCTTCACTTAGCTTTTGGTACAGCCGTTTAATTGCAGTAATGTTTTGTATACCTTCTCGTCTCTAAAATACGGTTATACTTTTAATTCGATACACTAGAAATTCATACAAAATCACCTGATGGTTTTCCGATGTATGACATGATTCCCTAACTTAAGTTTCTGACAACGAAACCCAGGGTAATGATTAGAACAGTACTGGCGTAATATGGCAGCAAAGAAACCAAAAAATGGATCTGCAGCTACAATCTGTGATGCTTATCTTTTGTTAAACTCGAGATTGTGATAGCTGTTTTTTTTTTAAGTTATAGTATCAAAACAAACACGTTAATAACAAGTTTTAGAGAAAACAGCTCTTAAATTTGAAATTGTATCAAGATAGCTAATACTTCAATTTAAATAACCCAAATTGCAGCCATAAAATATCTTGTTTCAAGTAGCCCAAAAGTAACATACATTCATTATGTTGTGTCCAGATAATGAAATTTTAACCTTAAAATATTAGAAATGGCTTCAAATTACAACATTTATTTTTGCAAAAATAATATAAGAAAACGTTTTTTGATAAAAAAAATTCAAAACTACCTATTCAATTTGAAATTTTTGGTGCCGGAAATGCTCCAAATGACGCTTCAACAAATCGTTTTCCAAACGATAAATTTAGGTTTCACTCTCTTTTTTGACTTAACTCGCTCTTGGACTAAAAAAAACGTTCGGTTCTTCTCAGCTTTCTTTTGTCAATCATACCACGACTGAAAGCTTTTTAGTACGATATTTTCATCGAATTCACATGACATTTATTCGCTGCTACTGATTTATCGTGAAACTTAAAACTTTGTTGCTCCACCTTCGTGATCGGATGAACATACACTGGCAGCTAAATCGAAAGGAACATCTAATGAATGACATTAAGCCGACAATAAACCTAAAAATCATCGTGTTCTCAAAATAACTTATCCTACAAATTAAACACTATGCATCAATTGTAACAGCTGCACATTAGCCAAAGCACAGGTGAATCACAAATCAATGTTTTTGACATGAAACAAGGATAGCCGGCTGGTGCGCAATGAGCAGAACATTTTCCGACCAAATTGTTTTACGATAAAAAACTCAAAGACCAAGAAAGATTTTATCAGACTAGTTCTTTTTTCGACAGAGAACTTCTTTGCAGTCTATTTTTAAGAATCCTGATCACGACGAATAGGGCTTTAATATAATACTTGATTTGATCCCTTACAAGCGCCACTTGAGGTAGACGAAATTGGCTGGAGCAAATTCATGAAACGGACCTTAATAAATCATTCCTTACCACTCTACGACAGTGGTTAGAACAAAAAGGACAACCGGTTGCTGAAAAAGTAGCCGTGAAAGTTGAAAGTAGCCCAATTCCAACCACGGTTATTTCACAGAAGAATATAAAACACGAAGAAAATTGGTATTTGTTCTCACAAACCCAATTTTCTTTATTAAATATCATATTAAAATTATTGACCGTGGTGCTGAGGATTGGTGCATATCTCTACATCGTAATTACAAAGAGTCTCGATTCAGCAGCCTCATAGAACTTTGAGACGCTTTCTAGATAGTGCTAATAGTAACACTAAAACAATGAACACCAATCTGAAAAACTTTATCTACGGCAAAACGCTATTTATATTGGATGGACAAGAGTGCGCTAAACGAGACACAAAATCTAACACTCATCTTTTGACCAAGAGTTATATTCTTTAACCATAATGCCAAGTGAGCTTAGAAATGCAGTTATTTTCGCTTTGATAGTTCGAAAGATCTGTAGATTTAAACCGTGCTTTGAAATTTTCACGCTTGAACTGAATTTGATTTCACGCGCTTTTTCAAAAGTAAGCATTGCTTTGATCAGTTTGTTCAAATGCGGCATCTTGGTTTTAATTTTTTTGATTAACCTATTGCTATGTTTTAAAGCAGTTGGGATATTTTACTTTGCGTGCACTTCTTTGTCCTGGGTTTTTGTGTCTGCTGGTTTATTTTAGAGTGGGATACTTTGGCGTGGGATAAAAAAGTAAAGGATAATTTGCCATGAAACCGGTTTTCCACAAGGGCTATGCTGAGCTTCGCAAGAAATGAAATACTATGATTAAAATTATATATCAGAACCGCTTTCGTTAACTCAACGAGTTAAGTTATCTGAAAATACAGATCAAGAATGGACAGCCATTTCAAAATCTTAATCTTCCACGAATTGGATGAAGTTAAAGAAAAGTGCGAACAAGATGAGAAACTGCGAACATTTAAAAATTTTCAACAAGTTGTCCCAATGTCGAGACAACGGTTTGAAGTGATTAAGTTTTAGTCTTATTTCGAGCAAAAAGTTGATTTCAGTTAAAAGAAAACTGGTTCTGGAATCTTCATTTAGCGCTCGCTTCCTCGGCAATAAAAGATTTTAAAATTTCTTCTTAACGATTGCAAACAATTAGAAAAAAAATATTTTGATTTTTTCTTTCATTTTTGTTTGCCATTCATTTTTTTAATGGTAGTTTTATCGATTATGTCCAAACACGACACTAATTTGAAAAGAAACAAATTTTGTTCTTTTCTTTCATGAATGTGGTCGGAAAATTGTGCGCCGATTGCACAGCAACCGGCTATCCCTGCTTTTTTGTGGCACCTTCTTTTTTAGAAAAAAAATTGTTACCACACTCCGTAGTTGGCACGAACATTGTTGTGCTATTTAACAAAAGAAAATGCAAGCTGTCCAAGAATACCAGCAAACACACATTACTGGCCATTTTGAAACTTTTACAACTTTCTGAAACTAATGGGATGCTCTTTAGAAGCCATTGTTAACTCAACCTACCTTCTTAATAACAAATAGTGACCAAGATGTGAATTTGGGCCGCTTTAATTTTTCCTTATCTGGACCAGTTGAGCACAACAGTGATTCGATATCTTCATTTGTACACTCATCTCGTCGAGCAGTTTGATTTGCTGCCTGATCAGATGGTGAAACGTCACTCGGCTCTGATCTCAAACATTCGACCTCCATGTTGGTAGATGTATACAGGTTAAACCATTTTGTCTCCTCTAAAATTAGGAGGTAGCACAACTATAACTTTAGTCTTATGACTAAAATACTAATTGTATCAAAGCCCATCGAAGGGCTTCTTTATTTAGTAATCCTACATCTTGAATTGTACAGTATACAAAATTCCGTTAATATATACACAGGGGCGAAGCGATACGAAAACAGGAAAACCAGGAAATAATTTCAAAAAAAAACTGATTTAAACTCAATTCGAAAAATTTGAAACAAATCACCAAATTTAAAAATCACTACCAAAAAATCTATTGGATCTAATCAGACAAAATCAAGAAAAAAATGAGAAATGTGCGTATACAAACAAACTTTTTCGCCCAGAGCATTTAAATATTTCCCAACAAAAATCGTAGAAAAAAAGTTCACAAAATCTTATATTTAAAAATCGGCTACAGGCCAAAAAAAACGCCCTATTAAAATTTCATATTGAAGTTTCAGAAAAGTTCGGCAAAAAGATAACGCATTTTTAGCCAGAGCAAAAAAATGCTTATTTTTTCAACAACAAAACTAAACCTCGTCAATCCAGATGCAATAAAGGAAAAACATAGAAAAATTGTCAACGTCAAATATCCAGCAATGACGAAAAAGTAAGCGATAAAAAAGTATCGAACAAACCGATAAAAACGGATGCAAACAAGATGGAGACATAACCAATGATTGAATTCGCCAAAAAAGCTGAAATGATGCAAACTGCAAACGTGCATTGGACAAAGCAGGAATGCCACTCTACACCAGCTGAGAAGTTACGCCTGCTGATAAAACTTCATTAGGACGTGCATGTAATAAACATGGATCCAGCCCGTAGTAGAAAAACTAACTTAGCTCCAAAATTTATCGGAAAACTTTCAACACAGAGGCGAAGCTGCGCTACGCAAACACTTGCGAGAACACGACCAAAAGGCAGCTCTATCGAGTTAAATAAGAAAAAGTAGAAATAGTAGAAATGAGCCTCGAATTAGCAAAAACTCGGCTACGAGTAGGACTCGAATCTACGACCTACTGCAATTAAAAAACTTTGAGTCTCACGCACTTTACCCTCACGCTTAACAACTGACAAACACTAATCACGAATAAAGCAGCTATATATGCTAACAAATCGCCAATGCGATTCAGCACCAAATACAAATAGACTCAATTTTGCAATTAATAATTGGGAATATAACAAACTGAAGGCATCCACGCTAACTTTGCATGTAACGAATTGCAAAGCATAAAACCACATTAAGTATAAATTATGCATTTGGAAAAACTGCTGGATATATTGAGTTAGAAAATTTCTGAAATCGAGTTTTTATTATTGTGAAGTTGTTTGAAACAAGTAACTTTTTTCGGTTTATTTGATTAATTAAAAATGCATCAATTGTGTTAACTTATTACTATTCAAATTTCATAGCACATGCTATCAAGAAGCCTTAAGGTGCCCCACCATTATTGGGGTGCCGCAAAAATATTTGCGACTTAGGTTGGAAAAAAGAGAAGTTTCGTACTAATACACTAGCTTAGCAAGTGTAAAAAAACTGAATAGCTTTCATCAGATTGTCATAACTTAGCCCAAGAAAGCTCGGAAAAACCCTATAAAAGTTTTCTACTCCGTCCAATATGATTGTACTTTGCAATAAATATTGATGATTACAGCATTGGATACAAACTACATGGCACTACATAAAAAATCTGGACAGCAGTAACTGCTACTGCTTGAAGGCTATTAAACTAAGAACAAAGATTTCTCAAATGTAAACACAAGCACAGCAAAAGACAGTCGAAAAAAGCCAAAAACCGCAAGTAAATAAAAAAATATTGGCTTGATTTTTGAAGAAAAAATTTGAAAGAAAAAACGGATAGCTTTAAAGCTCTTTGAATTTAATTTCTATTTGAATTTAATTTCTAGATAAGATTATGCACGACACTTTTTTGAAAAAAATTAATCCAATTTGAGACAACTGAATTAATCCAGTTTTTTGTAGCCTTTACACTTTTGCTGTAAATTCTGAAAAAGAAAAATTCCGAAACAGAAAAAAAAAATCACCACGACCTATATAAGAGCCTGCAACACGTTTATTAACTCTTTAAAATAAATTGCCAAAAAATAGGATTCAGAACTTCGACCAAAAGCACAATACAAAAAACAGTAGTCTTCGATGAGCAATATACCTTTTGTGTTGCTTGGAAATAAAGCCGAACGAGTAACAGCCGAAAAAAAAGCCTGAAGAAAATTCATTATACACACAATAAAGCCGTTTACAAATTAAACGAAACAAAGTAATCAGTCTTCAGGCGCTCATAATCTAAAATCAAATGAAACATTGAAATGTCGACTGTAGCATGAAAACATAAGCATCTTCAAAAAACGAATCTTTCTTCATTTTTTATTTTTGAAATGGGAGCACGAATTGGAATTTTCAAAAAATACTTTCAACATTCCAGGATATAATCAATACAAACTGACAGTATATTATTTTTTATTTTTAAAATGGGAGGATGAATTGGAATTTTCAAAAAAAAACTTTCATCATTTATCAATGCAAACTGACAGTTGGAAAAACGTAATGAAATCAAGCAGAAAAAAAACTGACTGGTTTTTTGAAAAAAAAAATCATTTTTCTCGAACTTAAAAAAACAGATGGCCTTAGAGTCCTTTGAAATTCATAAATAAAATATAATAGGTGTTTTTTTGGATAAAATTAAGCCAATTTGAGAAAAGTAGATCAATAGGTTAATATTTAATTGAGCTGGGAAATCTAAAAATTAAATTCCACTTTCGAAACTAAAAGTCAATCAAAATTTTCGTGACTTTTAAACTTTCGCTGTTCGATATTGGAGTTTGGCTCCGTTTTAATTTAAAAAATTAAAACTGAGACTGAACTAATTTCAAAGCTTTTCCTGAAAAAAAAGCACCACGACGTATAGAATTCGAGGCCAGCAAAATGGAGCACTGATCTAGAAAAGAAATCATAAATCAAACCGCGAAAAATCAAAACTGAGCGTGAACAATTTTAAGACAAAAAAATCACCGAAACCTGCATAAAAGTATTCACTGCGTTCATTGCTCTTAATTAGAAAAAAAACATTTAAAGTAAATTAGATAAAATTTACCTTAATAAATGCGACGCCGAATGAGAGCAAAATCTGACAAAACGTATTGTAATGTTGCCTGCCGAACGTACACAATAAAAAGAATACCTTCATGTATTACCAGCATCAAACCCAAGAAGACAGTTTCCATTTCTAATTTTCTTGATTCTGTTTGCAAATTGCTTATGGTAAAAAGTCGGTGACATATTACAATAGGTGGCAGGTTCAATTTAAATAGCTGGATCGCTTTTTGTTACATTTCGCAATATTTAAAATTTGTTTCAAAGCCAAACTTTCTGGCAAAAGAAAGGTAAAATGACTATATTATGCCTTATAGTTCTCAAATTTATTATATGCACTATACTTGTAACATATCACCAAAAAGTCAAGTACCCGATTACTCAACCCTTGCTAAATGCAACGGCCAAAATACATCTGCGATTCATGTTTTTACAGACGATAAATGACGAGCGAAAACAAGAAAAGGGCCAGGTCTAAATCCTCTATGAAGTTATCAAAAAGTCAATTAAGGACCTATCATTGAGTTGTTAACAGTTCTCAATTGGGTCGGAATTCATAGTGGGGTTCTTGAAGGGTTTTGGCAGAAATCCTAGCAAAAACAGTCGGCATAATCATACGCCCAACCCATCGTGAGAAATGATTCACATACACTACTGCTCGGCAGCTAAAAAAATGTTGTTGCCTCTCACCTGTTCATATTTAATCACATAGATTTAGTCTCAGTTTTTTGTGCTGAAGGCATTACAAACCACAAATACACCTAAACGTTAACACTAAGAAAGCAAAACAAAAAATAAATTAAAGATAGTTCAACATACAAAAAAAATTAACTAGGGACTATATTTGCAAGCCAATCATCAGTTTCATCGCCTTGTTTTGATTCAGTTTTTACTAATTTGGTATTTTTCTTTGCCCAAAATTCTGAGAACGATTCTTTTCCTTGAAAACCGACAGCTGATGGTTTTATTGGCTCCTTTGAAAACATAACTGCAAAACAAGGATCCAGATGCTTGCTATTTTTTCCCGTGGAATCAACCTCGCTTTCTCTGTAAACAAAATTCTGTTGGTACAAATCAGGAAACTCCTTCCTTAATATTTCAGCACAAACTACAGTTTTAGACAGCTGGGAGTGTTTTGACACAATTTTCAGCTTGTTCTTCTTCTCAGTCGTTAAAATATTTCTCGCTTCTTCAGTCACCATTTTCACTTTACTGTTTTTCTTCACAAATAGCACCTGAATATTCAACGACATTTTGTACACGCATTCGCCGTCTGAAAAATTCAAAAATTAGTTGACTGTCTTGCAAATCTAAATTACAAATCTGCAAGCAGGCTACACTAAATACTCAGTAGTTTAAAAACACATTTTTTCTAACCATTTCACTACATACTAATTATCCACATGATTTCTACCTACCCACTACTTAAGTAGTTCTAAATATTAGGGCTTTATCTTAAAATGTTCAACGCTTTTTAGACGTCTGACACCCGCAATGAATTATTGAATTTATTATAAGTTTTATAAGGTTTGCTTATCACAAGCGCAATCAAGCCAGAAAAAAAATACAACATTTCTAACTGTACATAACTATCGAGCCAGTTGGCACAATTTTATTTAGAAAAAAAAAACGAAAAAAGACAGAAAAAACATCTTCTCTCGACATCAAGTAATAAGCTCCACACCAGGAAGCTCCAAATAAAATTGAAAAATAGCTATTTAGCACATACTTATAGGCCAATAAGTACCCTTCACGCTCTGTCATGTGTTATTGAAAAAAAAACACCCTCAATAATACGTCTTGAGCAAAATTTAAATCCAGTCTGAAAAAAGAGATCATAGTTTTAAATGTACACAAAATATCAGAACCGCTGTATCTGAAGAAGCATTCGATAATCTTAAAAATGATACATCTGGCATACGCCTTGCGACAAATCAGGCACAAAAAAAAACTGACTCCAAGCAAAAACTACAGCATATTTCAAACTTTCCACGCCTACTATAATCGTGAAAACGAAGCTCACTCAAATAATTCAACCCAAGTGGTTTACATGAAATTATGTTCTGAGTTGAAAACGCTTCCTAACTGCAAGCACAAGCATCGCACGCCAGCATAAAAATCGCTTGCTAATTGCGAGCATGATCGGTGCTCATTAATCGACAGATAATTTTTTTTTCAAGAAGTAGAAAAACACAGAAAAATGCAAATAAAAACCTTTTCAAAAAATTAACACTCAAATTTCTAGAAAAACCTTTTAACTCGACTGTCCCCCACCAATGTGGCTTTAGAAGAGGCATTTAGAATTTTAGAAAAGCTGAACCCGAGCCGACAAATAAACAGACGGACGATACTCAGAAAAAGCACAAAATTTATAGTTTGCAAAAAAACAGGTCCTGACCGGCTGATAATCTTAAGCAGGTTGTTACCTCCACGCGAGATGCTCTATTGTTGAACAGATAATGAAGCTCAATTTATTATGAAGCAAGTTGAAACACCTGTAACGCGCGATATCTTGTGAACAATGTTGTTTACGGGAAAAAAATCTAGTACCCGGTTGCACTACACTTGCTAATCGCAGGGGTTATTAATATACGACTACCGCAAAATGGAGTTTGAACTGAGCATGTGGGTTGAAACAACTCGATATGTGCGGAATGAGTGGCTTCAACTGGAAATAATACTGGAAAAAAAACGCTTATGAAAAATTTCAAATAATAGAAAATCTAACAAAAAGTTCAAAAATGGGAACCAGATTTTAACACAAATTGCTACAACCTAACAATGCATCACAAAGTAAGACAGTTATCGTAACTAATAGTCAAATACTCAATAGAAGAACATGATTATCAAAAAAAATCGGCTGTTGAAATACCTTTTTTACATCCACAGAATGTAACAACAAGACTTAACTTGATATTTCAAAACCAATATCAATTCAAGCCTCCTACAATGAAACTGAGTAATCAGAGGCAAAAAAGGCTCCATCCTGCATTGGAAACAACCACAGATGCATAAATGAAAGAAGAATACGTAAACTGATACACCCGTTCTCTAGGGTCCTATGTACTAAGATTGTCTATGGGTTTCCCATGTATTACGATTGGTTATAGGTTCCCTCTGAATCGAAATTGGCTATTAGTGCAAAAGACCGACACCACCACTCGATCTTTCTAATGATAAAGGTAGTGTTTTTTCATCAAAAAAAAATATTTCTACAGTGAATTCATCCCTACTATTGGTTAGGGGCTCACAAAAACAACATAAAACAATCTTTTATTATTTTTTCTGTTATTCTTTCAGTTCTTATAGTTTGCAGTTATTCTCTTCAGGTCAACCATTTTCAGAAAATTGTTATCTACAAATTTCAGTTGTTAATTTTTTCTTTAGTTCTCTTCGGCTATTTCCTCTTTCTCAGCTCTATCAACTACTTCAGCAAAAATTAATCTATTTCTGCTTAATTCATGCTCTCTTCCTCTTATCTCGCCTAGTTAATTTCTTTCTTAGCACCACTTACTCCACTTTAGCAGAATTTCATCTTCAACTGTTTCTTCTAAAAATTACGCTCTCTCAAAAATGACCCCAATTTAACCTCAAAAAAAGTATGCAAAAAATGTCTGGGTTGTTCAAAGCGCTATTACAGTCGACGCAGCAGCCTAGTAGTTAGGACGGGGCACATATGCAGACGGCTTGCTCCTGGCCGGTCTGAAGGACCCAAAAGAATTAAATGAGGGTCTCGATAACACCCGACTGATTTTCGACGAAATTGAGGATAGATTTATAGCAAAAGAAGATGATTGTGATGCAGAGAAGACGACAACGCCCGAGGACAAAGCAATAAGAGAGTTGGTAGAAAACTGCTCGGCAGAGCAGCTGGACACTCTAATGGGAGGCATGAAGGATTGATGAAGAAAGAGTGTCAGCTGTTTGCACAGGAGGTAGATGTGCACAGAACTTGCCGTCACAGAATCGTCAGCGTTATTATTATTTTTTGTTGACTCTGACACTTCCCCGACTTCTCATTTTCCAATCAAAATTATTTTTTCTAAGTATACAAAGATGCGCAAAGAATAAAGACGAGTAGCGATTTTCAACACGCCATTCTCGAAAGAATGTACATGTGCTCAATCCGTTAGCGAGTAAATTTGGACGATGAGCTGGAGAAGAATTTGAAGAAAACAAGATCACGTATGCCAAAACTCCAAGGGGTCAGCAGCTCAGTCACTTGTTTCGGCTAGTCGAGAAGTTTCCCGTTTTTAAAAGTGAATAATGGCTTCAAGCCTTCAGAAATGCTCAACAAGTTGTCAATTAAATAAGCGGTATTGGAGATCAATTCTGAGTTGTCGTCGGGCAATGACGAAGATAGCAGCCGCAATGAGAAGATATGAGTTGTCAAAAAAACTATGAAAAAACTAATGGACTCAACAAACTTCTCGGCCCCAAAACTGAGTGCTCTTGTTTTTTATTTATCCTCAAACGATGCTTCATGTAGTAATAGTACACGCCAAACTTATTATAAGGCGATAAAATATTTAGTTTTTGTTTCTCTCAGTTTTTGTCACGCAAATGTAACCAAAATTTGTCAGGATAATTAACACCTTTATTAACTTAAACTTTGCTCTCATTACTCAAGAAGCAGCTTGAATTGTAAAGACCAGAAACAAAATTGAGTTCAGAGCATTCGGGCATGCGGTTTCGATCTTTGGTTTAAAGGGAGAGAAAATATGTAATTGCTAGAGCAATACAATACGTGCAGATAAAACCTAGTTTAGGGACTTTGAGACTTGCGAATCCACCGCACTTATATTACATGCACCCAAAAATGTGGCACCCAGGACTAGCTTGAATACATCTCGAACCTGTTACATGAGGGGCAAATAATGGGGCCGAGATTGGAGTTAATGCCGAAAAAGATACCGATTCAAACAGGAAAAAGACAGGCCGGCCTCAAACGCACCTACAAAAACCAATCAGCAAGCAATCGTCGCTAACCCTCAGTTAGGGAAACTACTTTCTAAATATTTTCCCGATTTGACAAATAATTGAAAAACAAACATAATTAGGATAATATGGAAAATTTTCAGGCCATTCACTACTTCTTGCGGGTCTCTGGATCAAATATATTTCACCTGTATTAACCTTTAATGAGTCTTTAAATAAATATGTCCAAATGCCGCATCAGCAAGAATCGTATATTCCTCCTTTAACATATTGGTTATTCAGCATTCTCTCAAACTTGCTTGGCTTCGTCGTATCGCCACTCTGAACATGCCCCTCCTTTAATATATTTCCCACATCATCAACTAAGAGAAACTTCCTATAATCGTCATCTGCGCACCAAACTAATTTGAATGCTATTCTAGACTTAAATTGTATGTGAGCGACGTCTTGAGGTCCCTCTTTGTTATTATTGCCAATTATACACGTAGACCAACTGCCACCCTCTCCCTTTGACGGATCAGATTCAGCAACAATAAGCGCCCCTAAGGCGTTTTGAGTTGAAATCCCAATGACCTTGCCATCTGCATTCGAATTGCTTTGAACACTAGACAGCATAGTGGTCAAATCACAATGATTCGCATCATTAAACGAATGACTGGTGCTCGGACCTTCTTTCAGCCCGCCGCATGACAAAATTTTCGATCGAATTTCGGTCCAAGATTTGTCTGTCAGGTCGCTGTCTGCCATTGACTTGACACAGGCAACACAATTCATAAGCCTTTCGCAAGCAGTGCCTGGATACTTATCGTCCAAAATCTGGCCATCTTTGACTTCATGATCGTATGGATACGTCGATTCTTCTGCTGAACCTTAAAGACAACATTGTTGAGTCCAGAACAAACCAAGTATCGATACTGCAAAAGCAGGGTAGTTTAGTCACATTATTATAGAAAAATTCTTAATAAACAATTTCTGCCCCTTCAATTTACAGCATTTGCACTTGATTTTGAACCTTTCACAGATGGCCGACTTTATATCCTTGCCTTTTCGAGGAACCAAAATATCATACTTGTGCACTAAGATCTTTTATCGCCAAAACTCTGTTATCACTAGGATCTGTTATCGCTGTTATACGCAAATAGCAACTATTGTGCAAAAAAAATACCAGTTTATTCTATATGCTGTCGAATTAAAACACATAACTCATTTTAAAAAAACAGAGATCTAAAATGAAGCACACCTTCAATTTCAAAACAATTAACTCAAACGAAAAACAGATATTAATCATCTAAACAATTATAGAAGTTATATCTTTCTTCTATCATTATGTTAAAATGCCAAAACTCTATGGTAAAGAGATGATAAAAAAACTACTCCAAGATACTTGACGAATTGTTTTCCTTCTATTATTTCATTTTCAGAAGAAGAATAAATTCATTCAAGTCAAAACAAATTGATATAACTAAATAAACAATTTAAAGCAATATCTACCTACTTCAAAGGGGTAAATAACGAGATCAGCTGATCTGCTCTAAGCCTACCCTGGCAACTGTAGATCCAAACAAAATTCGGGGGTTGAGAAATTAGACGATAAGCAAATTAGACGGAGGTACTTAAAAGGAAATTAGACGGTTTTGCAAAACTGCAATTGTGAGAAAATAGACGAAAGTGAGAGAAATTAACTTTGTTTGCACACAAATAGCGTTAGAAAAATAAAATTGTTTGTAGACAACAGTTCAATTTCGGTGGTCAAAAACTTTACAGGTCAATCATGCATAATTTATTCAATTAAAAACTCTCCTGTAATATTCAGATTTGACATTTTATGTTCATTTAAACTAATTGTTTTGATAGGTATTGACATTTTATGTTCTTTTTGTATTTGTGAAACTTGACTCTTATGAAAAATTTTTGTTGGCCCTTTCCCTTTCGTCTAAAATGCCAGATCTGTAAAAAATAAATTCCGTCTAATTTCGTTTTTGTAGCATCCGTCTAATTTGCTTATCGTCTAATTTCCTAGGCCCCCAAAATTTAATTTGAAAGTAGTTAATAATGATAATTGAAATAACGATTATTATTTACACAGAGGCGAAGCGGAGCTTCACAACACTTGCAATGCTAAAAACACATTGCGCTACAAAATAGTGAATGAAAAAAGACAAGCCAAAAAAGTTAATGAAAACTGTTGGAAAAAAATATTCGACAGATTTGAAGAAAAATAACTTGAAAAAAATTGAAAAAATTACAGCTACCTAAACTTCATATTTGTATCGGATTACGTTCAGAAACAACCCTTAAAAAAGGAAATCATTTACCGAGCGACAAAAAAGGCGACAAACTTTGGGTAGAACCTGTTGAGTCGAAAAAAAACTGTTGTCATTAAAAATTTCATAAAAATTAAAAGTTTTTACAACCCATCCACACTGAAACAAATAATCCCCAGCGTTTTTCTGCCTTCGAAGTTACGCAAAATAAGCTGACAAAGTCGAAGCAACATACACTGAAACTGCTTGAATGTTTATTTAAAAAAAACGAAAAAATCATACATTGTAAACTTACAAATTTGCGAAGTTTCAGTTTAGTAAAAACCGCTTAAATTGGAAAAAATCCATGCTTTAAAAAGTGCACCAATGGAAACCCAACCGAATAGAAATGCCGTTTAAAAAACGGAACATGAAACGACATAAACTTGGACGAAAACCACGAACCGGAAAGAAAAATTGAGAAACTTTTTTGAAAAGATAATTACAACCTGAAACTTGATAAGATAATTACAAGCTAAAATTACAAAATTTGAAAAGATAATTACAACCTGAAACTAAAACCTGAAACCATAACATCCTCTAGAAGAGGAGATCTTCTAGAAGTGTGGACAAGGTTGTTTACGGGAAAAAAAGTCTAGTACCGAGATTGCCTGCTTTTCTGTATATATTGTACTGTTTATAGCATTCAATTTTAGTGAATTTTTCTTAAGTACGCGATGAAATTTCAACAATTTTGCAGCTGAATCAAAGTGGTGTCCAGATTTTTTTTGGTAAAAAGCATTGCATTGTCAGCGTAAAGAACATTTTACCAGTATTTTGGTAGTCGTTGATTCATATCATTCATGTATAAATCAAAAAAGCGGATTACCGTGAAACCTATCGAAGAAATTTCTGTGTTGTTAACAATTTATTTTTGTTGCCAGTTGCTTACACCATACCATGTCTATTGAACTATATTCGAATCGAAAATTATCGAGTTAAATCTTCAATTCACCAAGTTTAACCAACTATTTGTTTGCACAAAATGTTTTGAACATTTTCAACATTAACCCAGCAAATATATTAACTTATCTATTTATGGTTCTTTTGCATCATCTTATTTAAGGATTGGGGCTAGAATGGCTCTTTTAAGATTGAGTTCAACATTCTATACATAAAAAAGGATCAAAAAAGAAATAAAAGGGTTTCAATTTGGCTTATTTCTCATTCTTTCAGTGCCCAGGCTGGTATCTCAAGAGGGCCCTGGCTAATTTCTATGGCTTGAAATTCCTGGTTTACTTCCCTTGAGAAGCCTAATTGTTGTGATAGCCTAATTGTTGTGATAAACTTATTAAATAGTTTGAGATGGGATGGGCTGGTGATCACCTGGCTGGACGTTGCACACTTCCTGACCTGCCCGAAGTGGACCACTGGTCTTTAGGTAGCGTGCCATCCACGATCTGGTCTCCTGGTGTGGAACCCGTATCCCGATCTTGACTCTGGCTCTCCCCTTCTGCCTTCGTTATCTCTACGTCTGGGTGAGACCCCTCCTACGTTAGGCATGCAATTGTTTGCCTCTTTCTTCTCGACCGTGTTTCTGGTTTTAGCTTTCAACCGTGTGCAGAACGTTCACTCCCCTGTTGGATCTACTCACATGCTGCTGCTGGCTCGCGAGAAACCTGATCCACAATCACGACAAGAACTGCGGTCACGCAAGTTTAAACTCAACTCAAAGCTGTCGTTTTATAACATTTCTATGCTCCTTCTTTTATGCGCTGGTGATATTGAAAGTAATCCTGGCCCGGCTGTCGACCCTACTCAGTTGTTCAGATTTGTTAACGCCGCGGAGATCTTAGTCGGGTCGTCTGTGGCTATCTCGGACCTAACCTCCGGTATCTATGATGCTTCTATCCTCAAAGTTGACAACGATCGCTTCTTTGCTCACTTTCGTGGTTGGAATAAAAGCTATGGCTCCTGGATCAACCTTGATCAAATTTTCCGGCTCCCTGATGGTTATGTTCCGATAGACCGGAATTCTCGCGGTCCTATTTGCCTTCTCGCGCCTCCTGTCTCCAGTCCTATCTCTGTCGCTTTAACGAGTTCTCCTTCTCGGGATGCTCCTGTTAGCTCTGGCCTCTCTCAAGGGATGTCAATTATGACGATCTCGGCTGAGCTCGCCGAAAGCGCTGTGCCGGATCTTTCTGACGTCATGTCTTCCAGAGTTGACACTGTCCAGTTCGTTCCGATTTCTCTTCGTAACGAGTGGTCTGAGGTTGTTGGTCACGCCCTTGACAACTGCGCCACCGCTCCGGACAATCTGAAAAACTGGACTCGGTTGCTCATGCTCCCCAAATGTATCTTGAAAGCCCCTCGCCGCGGAGGCAAGTCTCACGCCGCTAATAACTGCAGAGACATTCGCCAAAGAATCAAGTCCTGGAAGGAGGGCAATATTTCGGACCTCTGGTCTAACGCTACCAAAGGACCTAAAGAGCGAACGAAGAAAAACAGCAAACCTTCTCCTGACTTTAATGTCCGCAGAGCCAAAGAGCTAGCAGGCCTCGGTCAGTTCGGCAGAGCAGCTAAAGCCCTGTGTTCCGATGGCCTCGTGTCCAAAAGTGACGAGTCGCTTAAGGACCTTCGCAGTCTTCATCCTTCCGCTGACCCTCCTGTCTTTTCTGGCCGGGATGAATCCCCTCTTGCCTACCAATTCGAATCTGAGTTCGTTCATAAGTCTCTCAAAAGTTTCCCGAGCGGCACTGCTGCCGGTCCTTCGCGCTGGTTTCCTGAGCACTTTGTTCACGCCGTTGAGTGCCCCACTCCTCAGACTGCTGCCAGAACGTTAGAGTCTCTCAACAGGGTTGTTAATATCCTCGCTGCCGGGCAAGCCCCTTCTAGTCTCTCTCCGTGGCTGTGCAGTGCGAATCTCTTTGCCACCGCTAAACCCAAGGGTGGTGTCCGGCCTATTGCGGTCGGCGAAGTGCTCCGAAGGCTCACTGCTAAATGCCTTGCTAAAGCCGCCAACGCTGAAGCTCGTGATTTTCCGTGTCCTCGCCAGCTTGGAGTCGCTACCAGCGGTGGCTCGGAAGCCATCGTCCACGCTACTAAAATGACAGTCAAAAAGTGCTCGGAACATGGTCACCAAGGCGTCTTAACAGTGGATTTTGAGAACGCTTTCAACACGCTAGACCGCACCGAGATCCTCCTTCAAGTTCGCAACCGTCTTCCCGGTCTCTCCGCCTTTGTTGAGTTTACCTACGGTCACCACAGTCATCTGCTGTTCGAGGATGTCATTCTCAACAGCGAGAAAGGAGTTCAACAGGGGGATCCGCTAGGTCCTCTCTTTTTTGCGGTCACCCTCCACTCTCTAGTCGAATCTCTCAAGTCGGAAGTCCCCGGTCTCACCCTCAACTGCTGGTACCTTGATGATGGTATTTGTGCCGGCGACGAAGACTCCTTGCTCAAGGCTCTCGAACTCATCACTTCCAACGGCTTGCATCTCGGCCTCAAAGTCAAGCACAGTAAGTGTGAGTTGTGGGCCCCTGTGGAGTTCTCCTCCATCCCCGTCTCTATCCCGAGAGCAGCGTCTAATGGCTTCGAGCTTCTTGGCGCCCCCATTGGTGATACTGAGTTCTCAGTTAAAGTCCTGGACAAACGCATCACGAAGGCCACCAAATGTCTTGAAAAGTTACCTCTTCTTGATGACCCCCAGCTCTCACTTGGCATCACTCGCAATTGCCTTGCTGCTCCCAAGCTGACGTACTCTCTTCGCACTCAGCCGCCCTTTCAGCCTGTCGCAGCTTCCCTGCAAGTTTTTGATAAACTCCTCCGCGATGCTCTTTCTGTCATAGTTGGCTCACCTGTTCCTGATCTTGCCTGGTCCCAGTCTTCCCTGCCTATCAAAGATGGCGGACTTGGCGTCCGGCAAGCTCGCGACCAACACATCCCTGCCTTCCTAGGGTCTTCGTGTCAGTCAGCTCATTTGGTCTCGTTTCTTACCGAATGCGACATCACTGATACGCCGGAGTTCCTGCGTGCCTCGAACGACTTCCGTGAACAGTCTGGAAGCGTTAACACTCCCGGTTTTACTCAAGAAGCTTTCCAAGAGAAACTCGATAAGGCCACCTACAACGCTTTCTTCTCGTCTCTTCCCGCGAGCAAGCTCGTCTTCAGTCGCTCTCCCTGCCTTACGCCGGCGCTTGGCTTACTGCAGTCCCCATTAAAGGTCTTGGCCTGCACCTGCTACCTGCTGAGTTCCAAGCTGCTGTCAGATACCGCCTTGGTCTTCCTGTGTTCGCGTCTGCTCGTAGGTGCCCCGCGTGTCCGTCTGGCATTCTGGACGTCCTCGGGGACCACGCTGTCGCTTGTGGGGGGAGTGGTGGCCGGATCTCCCGTCACGACAGACTACGGGACATTATTTTCAATGCTACTTCGGCTGCCTCTTTAGCCCCCATCAAGGAGCAACGGAACCTCATCCCTGGAGAACGGTCCAAACCCGGCGATATTTTAATCCCTACTTGGAGCGCTGGTCGCCCAGCTGCTTTCGACGTCACCGTGACATCCCCGCTGCAGTTATCTCTTCTCTCTCGTGCGGCGGAGACCCCCGGGGCGTCCCTGGAAGTTGCTGAGGACCGCAAATTTTCGAAACACGAGAATAACTGTGAGGAACAAGGAATCAGTTTTTTCCCGTTAGCAGTCGAAACGCTCGGGGGTTGGTCCGCTTTAGCTATCACAACCCTCAAGTCAGTTGCTATCCTCGCTGATGCCAGACGTTCTGGTTCACGTGACGCTCGTGTTGCCCCAGTTCGCCTTCTCCAGAGCCTCTCAGTGTGCCTCATGAGAGGAAAAGCCACTATGATTGTCAGCCGGGCCATCTAGTCGTGTGCAGTTTATTACGTTTTTTGCATTCCCAATTCTGGTGCTCCTTTGTTCCTTTGCTGTTAGCGCAAATTAGTTTTAGTTTTCTTCATTAATTTAAATATTTGCTATTTAAAAAAATATTCTTAACATTCCTGCGATGCAACAAATTTGAAATCAAATAGTTTCAGTTCAGCTTTTTTGGAATTATCGAACATCAAATCGAATAGTTTGAGTTCAGCTTTTTTACGCATTCTTATGAGTCCATTTGCTTTGTTAAAAAATCCGGTCACGTCCTCAGATTAAATTATCAAATGCAGGCTTTCGTCTTTTCAAGGCTGAAGTTTGGGATTTGACACGACATTGTATTATACTCGAAGAGACAAGTACGTATACTCGAAGAGACCGTTACGGATTACTGAAAACTGTTATCCAGTGGGGTATGTGTGCGTGGTGTTCGGTGTTTTCCGTTAAGTATAGTCCACCCTTTCAATTTGATTTATTCAAAGAGAAATGACATTTTAAAACGGATGTCTTGCTCAGGGTACAGTTTTTTTCTCTTCTAGCTGGGTAAAATTTCGTTTCTCCTCTGCTTTTGTTTATTTTTTCCCAATGTTTCTATATTGACGAGCAACGGAGAACCAATGACCGTGCGGCAACTAAGGCGACAAAAACTGGCTCGAACATCGTTAAGTCGAAAACAAAACTAGTCAACAAACAATTTCGAGCTAAATTTTAATACAAAACTTTTACGACCCATCCCTTCTAAAACAGGCAAAAGCCTTTAAAAAATACCCTTGAAACTAAGCAGTATACGCACTCAGCCGATGTTACATCAGTCAAACCCGTTTAACCGAAAAAAAGAACAAAATTATTCGGAAGAAGAGACGGTACATTACAATCTGCAGAAAAACTTTCAATTAGAGTAAAAATATTAAAAACAAGCATTGGACAAAATGGTTTGAAAAGCGGAGAAGACAATACAAATTGCAATTAGAAAAAACGGAGAATCAGCCGACCAAAATTAATAAGAAACCACAAATCCGAAAAAAAACGAAAGTTTCTATGAATATATTTTAAAACTCAATTACTGGCTCAAATGAACTAAGAGAAAACTCTTTAAAGTCAAACAAATTTCCAGAAAAATTATGTTTGATCAAGAAAATTTCAAGACCTTCAGTTAGATAAACACTTGCATTTTCAAAGATTACAGCAAAGATTATCTCTCTTAACAAGTAATTTTACGAGGTAAAGCGGCGTGTGTACCTAACTATAGGAGGACTGCTTGTTACGTTCGATTACATTTTTTGCCAATGAACAATAATTCGGTGAACAGTGATACTACGCAGTCAGTGAAAACGACAAAAAACTTTGGGAGAATTGTTTTGTAAACAAAAATAGCCCTACTGGTGGTTAGAATGCTTTTAGTTATTTCAATTCTCTCCAAATTCCGAGTCCAGAGTAAAATTGCTGAAAAAAAACAAATAAAAACAAAAAACACTTTAATTGCACATCGAAATTAATTTCATATTGTTGTTACTTTTTCAGTTAACCAGGAGGCGACCAGTAATACAAACCCAGTAATACAAACCCAAAAGCTCGACCAGTAATACAAACCCAATGGCAAATCGCACGAAAAACTAACGTACATAATTGAAGCACAGTGCTGCTCAGAGCCATAGCGCAAAAGAACAGATGTGTCTTCAGCTTCATTTCGTCCTGAAAAATGTTATTTTAAGAGATACTCGCAGCATGATAACTCAAATTACCTAAGAGTCACTTACAAAGCTCCACTCGCCCAAGTCCTGGTTAACTGAAAAAGTAACAACAATTTGAGAAGTGCCCATGACAACCTTCGAAAATTTTATCAGTGGAGCGATGAGAGCTATGAATGTTGAAATTTAGTCCAGTAGCCATGAATGGTGAAATTATTCCAGTAGCCATGAATGGTGAAATTATTCCAGTAGCCATGCAATATGATACTTTCCAATTTTTTTGTAAATCAAAGGATCGGAATTTTTATGGTAAATGAAGCTGCTACACTAGTCCTTTATCATTTCACCCAGTCAAATATCCTTGTAATTTCAAACATTAGAAAGTACGAAAAAAAAACTAATGGAATCTTAAACCCTATCGAATCTTGAACCTCATACACGTGATGTTCAGATATGACATATAATCGGTGATGGAAAAAAAATGTGGGGGCATTTTATTACATATACCTGTAGCATTGACCCGAAAATTAAGAGACGATTTAAATTTGTTTAATAGCAAAAAATAATGAGTCAGTGTGGGTTGAACGCAAATCTAATTTTAATGGTGCCAGTAAGGAAAAATGTTAATAAATTTATATTGTTATAGAAGAAATTTTTGCTAAAAAGTAAATTTCAAACGTTTTCGCAACTATGTGCATCGTCAGGATTTTTACAATAAACTACTCTAAATGACGATAAAACATCAATTTACAAATGTTATTTACAATAAATCACATACAATTTGGTTCTAAACCATCATGATAAAAAATTAGCCAATCACAGTTGACCTCTAAATTACTATTAAGATTAAAATACTTTTAACCTCTAAAATTAATTAAACTTTTTAAAATTAATTTGTCTGGAAGTTTCTGAGTCATAATTTCGATTTAGACATGTACGTTTTGAATAAAAAACCAAAAATATTTTGGGACTAAATTTTCAGTGTCCTAAATTAATGTCCCCCGTTCAGTGTCCCAAAAACGATCTAATACCGGACTTTTTGAAGTTTAGGGTCCCCGAGAACGGGTTTTTTTCGGACCAAGCTGTGCATAATTTTCAATTGAAACTACTAAGGACTGAAACTTCTAGGGCAAATGAGGATAGGAAAAGGTACGAAGAGATGCTAAGGAAAGCAAGATCACTGGTGCAAAAAGAAATTGACAAACAGTGGTGGGCATCCATTTTCCGATTCGTGAGGCGTCAAGTTGAGGCAAGGTTAAAGACAACATCAGTAAACCATAGAAAAAAGTTAGAAAAACTGTCCGAGAGACAACATAAACCTCTTGGGGGGAGAAATCAGCGATCAGTTAAGGTACTTGATAAAATTGAACTGCCTGAATGGGTATATGAAGTGCTATCAATGGGCCCCAAGCATCCAATTAGAGACAAATTTAACGAAACACATTTTTTGGCGGATATAGACATTTTCCTCTCACAATTGAAAAATCAAAAAACATCTCGTGAAACGTTATGTGAATTAGAAGCCCTGGCAAAGGCATATGCAAAAAACGTACGGCAAACCCCAAGAGACAAAGCCGTTGAAAAAACGAGGAAATATCTCAAAGATAATGGGTTGCTGGCTGTGCCTTTTGATAAGGGGGTTGGTTTTTGCATAATGAGGAAACAAACATATGAATCAAAGCTGGAATCCTTGTTGCAATCTGCTCAGTTTGTGAAAAAAGTTGCAATCACTGATGAGGAGATACTGAAAATTGAGAAGGAACTTAACAAAGAATTACTAGCCATGAACAAAAGAGACGAGATAAGTGATCATTTATATTCTAAGATGATATCAACAGGGGGGCAACCCGCCCGTTTGTACGGTTTAGCTAAGGTACACAAGGATGAGATACCCCTACGTCCTGTACTATCACTTCCCGGCAGCTCGTATGAGAATCTTAACAAAATGCTTGCAAAGTTTTTTGACAACATCGATGGAGCAAATATAGAAACCAATACTAAAGAGGCTAGAGAAAAAATAGAAAACATTGCTCTAGATCCGGATGAAACCATAATATCTCTTCATGTGAAATGTTTGTACACCAACGTTCCCCTGAAGGAGGCAATTGAAATTGCTTTACAGAAGCTGTACAGCTAGGAGTCTCCTCCTGAAATTCAAAAAGCAACCATGAAAAGGCTTTTGAATATGGCGGTCAGCAAAGTATATTACAATTGTAATGATTCATGGTATGTACAAGTTGATGGTTTAGCAATGGGCGCGTCCCTCGCTGTAATTCTGGCAAACTTATGGCTGAAAGAATACGAATTTGCTCTACGACAACAAATACCGGTGGGAACGGGGGTACAGCAAATTAATGACAGAAACGGCTTGTGCCCATGTTGCAGCAGGAAAGTCACATATAGATCAAAGGGGGTTGAATGCGAGAGTTGCCAAAACTGGTATCATATAAAATGCGGAAAAATATCCGATGAGGTATACGCATCAATAACCGAGATAGTCTGGTACTGTAAAAGCTGCTGCCAAGCTAAGAACAAGGAGAAGGATACTCCCCAGGTGAAATTGTTCCTCAGGTATGTGGATGACATTGTTAGAACAGTCAGAGGGGAGCCGAGTTGTCTTCTCGATGCCGCCAATTCTCTTCATCCAAATTTGCAGTTCACTCTAGAGAAAACTAATTCGGAGGGGAATTTGCCGTTCCTGGATTTGAACATAAATGTATCGCAGGGTAGGCGTGTAACTTGCAGTTGGTATCAAAAACCAACAAATACAGGGACTATACTGAACTATAGAAGCTGCGCCCCAACTCAGTATAAGCGTAGTGTTATCCAAGGCACTGTACACAGGGTTTTTAGGAGTACATCTAGCTGGGAGCAATTTGATAAGGCTATGGTAACTAATAGGGCGCAATGGCTGACAAATAAGTACCCTGAAAATTGACCCACAAAGGTGGCTTCAGACGCCTTGTGCAAGATCATCGAGGGTAAGGGCAAGCCCCTGGATTGTGACAGGGGTTTGTCAGTTCAATCACCAAAGGATGTGAAGCCCGCAATGCTGATGGTGCAATATAGAGGTAACCAGAGCCAATATTTTGCTAACAGGTTACGAAAATTAACTAACGTTCAAGTGGTTTCCACCACAAGAAAACTGCAATCATGTTTACCATCACTGAAGTCAGCATTTTCTAATGACCTCAAGTCAAGAGTGGTTTATAAACTGTCATGTAGTGGATGCACTTCCACCTATGTCGGACAAACTGTTCGACATTTGACCACTAGAATTGAGGAACATAAGAAAACAGAATCACCGGTAGGCATCCACCTTCAGCAATGCCAACTTGAGGGAAATAGCGCAGATCTTAGTTGGGAAATTATAGATAGGTCAAACAACCAAACAAAATTGCTAACACTAGAGGCAATACATATCAGGAAAAAGAAACCGGGCTTGAACACGCGCGATGAGTTTAGGAGCAGGGAGTTAACACTGAAAATTTAGTCCCAAAATATTTTTGGTTTTTTATTCAAAACGTACATGTCTAAATCGAGAATATATTGTTATAACCCAAACAAAATTTTATTAAGTTTCTGGAACAACTTACTTTGAACATTGATAATGAACTTTTTGTCTCTAACCAAATATTTTCAACAGGCATAAACTATTTGAACAAATCGGAGAACGAAAAATTGGATTGAATCTACATTCCATATGGATTGAAGGTTTGTTGTTCAAATGATGCTACACGAGCCAGTGCTTCGTCAAAAACTCATACTGATTATCTAATCGGTGACTTCGAAACAAACAAAAATGAATTTATCTTGGATACACCTTACAAAACAGACTATTTTGTTTCATTTATTTTGACAAACTTTAAATGTGAGAAAAACATGCTAAAATTTATTTTTAACTCAATAACAAAATTACCGAAAACTTGAGTTCTGATAAACTCTTTCCTGGTTTCAATTATATCAATGTACAGCCGCACAAAACATGATTTCAGGGCTGTTCAATTGAGAAGACGTTTTTGATAAAAAATAAATTTCAAACAATTTCGCAATTATGTGCATCGTCAGGATTTTCACATCAAATTAATCTAAATGACAATAAAACATCAATTTACAAATGTTATTCACTATAATTCACATAAATTTTCATTCTAAACCATCATGTTAAAAAGTTAGCCGATCGCACTTGACCTCTTAAATTATCATTTAGATTAAAATGCTTTTAACCTCTAAAATTATTTAAACAATTGTTTTTTTCAATTTATTTATCTGGAATTTTCTGAACCATAATTTCTTTTTAGACATGAACGTTTTAAATAAAAAACCAAAAAATTTTTGGACTAAATTTTCAGTGTTAACTCCTTGCTCTTATACTCATCGCGCGTGTTCAAGCCCGGTTTCTCTTCCGTGATATCTATTGCCTCTACAGTTAAAAAAATTGTTTGGTTGTGTGACCTATCAATGATTTCCCAACTAAGATCTGCGCTATTTCCATCAAGACTGCATGGCTGAAGGTGGAGGCCTACCGGTGAGCATGCTCTCTTATGTTCCCCAATTCTGAGAATGCGTTAAAATTCTAAGTTCAAGCAATTGGTTTCGCACATTGTTGTGCATCTTCAGGTTTTAAAATTCTAAACTATGTGTAAATAATGATCAAAGAAAATATTGAATCAATCACAACATTACAATTGTTGTTGAAATCATGTAACAACTTTTACGTAACAATTTTAAGCAATTAGTCACAAATTTCTGAGAGTTTTCACCTTTTTCCATTTTACAATTTCGTTTTGTCGCTAATTTCATGCTAACATGTAAGTTATTTCAAAAAAAATTTTGTTTTAGCCAGAATTTTTTTGATTCTGGAACTATAGCCTGAGTGTCATCTCCCTACTTCTAAACTCAACGCGCGTGTTAATTTCAGGTGTCTGTCTTTCGTAATGTGCAGCGCCTCTTATTAAAGTAACTTAATGCTGCTGGACTCCTGGTCGATTATCTTCCATTCAAACTCCGACT